TCGTCCTCCTCCTCCTCCTCCTCCTCCTCCTCCTCCTCCTCCTCCTCCTGGGAGGAGCAGGCACGAGGGCACGAAGCCGTGTGCCGCCGACAGAGCCGACAGCGGGCGGCCAGGGCGGTGACCCGCCGCGGACCTCAGCCGACGCCGAGGGCCTGGGCCGGCCACGAAGCGGCTCCCAAGGGGGCCGAGCCCTCGAGGAACAGCGCCGGGATCGGGCAAGTTACGGTGTAAGTCGGGCCTGTCCCTCTACAGGAGGAGTATTCAAAAATAGTAGAAACATGGTCAGGGGATGTTTTTTTGACCATCTTTGAGCATTCTTGGATGATGTTTTGGGTCTTTTGGATTTTTCGTGCAAAATCGGCCTGTAGGGGGACATGCTCGACCTAAAGTTACGGTTGGTTCAGGCGGCGTTGGCGCGCTAGCGACGCCGGCGAAGGCGTTCAAGGTTGAGTTCTGCGACGCGGGGGCTCAACCTTGAACGACCGGGGCCGCGATCGATTCAAAGTTGAACGATCGGCGCGGTGTCAAAAATCTTTGCGCACGCCGACGCCGCACGAATCTCCAGTACGCATCGGTCGGTGGAAGTAGGTAGACACATGAAGTGGGAAGGCGCTGAAAGTAGATTGGGTGTCCGCCCGCCCCCTTAAAGAGGATGGAAAAGGTGAAGCCACTCGATCATTGCAATAGGAAGGCGCTTAAAGTAGACTGGTATCCGGGAATCCAAAAATATCTACTTTCACGATGGGTACATCGTCGACAAGAGCCCCGACTTGGCGGCGCGCACAAGGGGGTATGGGGGAGGGGGGAATGCTTCTAAGAAAAAGGCTGCTTCTTACATCTACAGGCAAGGCCCGCGCCGTCTAAGAAGCAGGGGTGTTTCTAAGAAGCCTTCCCCCTCCCCCTATCCCCCTCTGCGCGTGGCCAGAACAGCGTCGAGAACCCAGACATGTGATGCCTTGGTTTTTTCGATGCGCGGTCCCCAGGACTCCCGACCCTTTCTACGGGGCCAGCCTTCCATCCCCAGCCGTTCCTCGACGGTCCCGAGGCCCGGCGAGGGCCCCCCAGACGCCGCAAACGGCCACAAGCCTCCCGTCCTGAAGGCTTCGCGACGCGGGCCTGTCTGGGCAGAGCCCCGACCAGAGCTCCTCGTCCGCGCCTGGCCCCTCCCCAGCGCCCGCCGCCGCCGCAGCGGCGCCGGGCGGAGGGCGCCGCTTCAGCAGCGGCGGGCCCGGCGGCGGCGTGCCCCCCAGCGCGGCGCGGCCGGGCTCCTCTGAGGCGGCCAGGGGGGCCGAGGGCGGGCCGTGGCCCAGCAGTGGCCCGAGGGCTTCGGCTGCTCCTGCTGCCCAGGCATGCTCTCGTCGCGAAACGCTCGCGAGAGGAGATGCTTGGCCATGTTCGGCCTCCAGCGGGCCTCGCCGGGCCTCGGCGCCCCAAGAAGCGACTGGGAGTGGAAAGCTGGCCATGAGGAGAGGGTCCGGATTTCTGGGGAGCGCAGATTGAAGAATCAGGGCACCGCATGTCTGGGTTCTGCTGCTCCTGGGTTATGCTGCTCTTGCTCCTCGGGATAAGACCCGCGTGGCTGTACTACAGCCTGGGGACGGTTTTCCCCTAACGCGGGGCCCAAACCATGCCAAACCAGGGCCAAGCCAGGCCAATTTCGAGGACGTCTCAAGCGAGACTGGGCCCAAACCAGGACAGACCAGTGGTCACACCAGGCAAATTTTGAGGATGTCTCAGGGGGCGCGCGGCCAAACCAGACCAATCCAAGCCAAGTTAGGGGCCAAACCAGGGGCCAAACCATGCAGATGTTGAGGACGTCCCAAGCAGAACCGCCCAAACCATGCTCCACCCATCTCCTCGACAACATTCTAATTTACGGAATGGATCGCCCCGTGGCCCCCCACGCAGGCGGAAGACCCGTTTAGAATTTTATGCTGGGGGCGTTTGGACCGCGCGCCCGCTGATGCGGGCGGGGTTCGGCGCAGAAACCTTCGTTTGTCTTCCGGGCATTGCTGGGGCCCTGGTGTGGCGTTTGGAGACAGACTTCCGAACCTGTAACATGGGCTACTTCGGCTCTACTGGTACGGCCTTCCTCGGGCCGGGTCGCGCTAGTAGGGGTACTGGGGCGTGCTGGTGCGACCCTCTGGGTTGTACTGGTCGGCGCATCCAGGCCCAACTAGGGTGACCTCCCTGGAGCCTGGGCGGCGAGGTGGGGGCAGGAAGAGGGGGGGTAGCGGGGGGCATGGAGAGGACGACGAGGACGGCGAGGGAGGGGGAGGATGATCAGAAGGATGAGGGAGAGGTGTTCCCAAATCGGGATTCGAGGATCGGGTCTCCTCTGCGTTTTTCGCCCGCTGTGGGGCATCCCTAGGATAGGCCCTGCGCTCGACTCTTGACCCCGAGGAGGTACAGAAAGAGGAGGATGAGCAGGGGCAATGGGAGGGTGACAAGGACGGAGTAGTATGAGGGAGTAGGTGATGATGATGAGGAGGAGGAGGAGGAGGAGGAGGAGGAGGAGGAGGAGGAGGAGAAGGAGGAGGAGGAGGAGGAGGAGGAGGAGGAGGGGGAGGAGAAGGAGGATTAGGATGAGGAGAGGATGAAGAGGAGGAAGAGGAGGAGAGGAAGAGGAGGAGGAGCAGCAGCAACCGCCTTGGAGGGAGGGAGGGAGGGAGGGAGGGAGGGAGAGGGACGAAGGGGAGGAGGATCAGGGAGCATGGCACGGAGTTGGAGGCACAAGGGTTCATACAGCTTCTGCGATGCTCTTCGGTGTTTTTGGAGGTTCTGGGGTTCTGGGGAAGGCAAGGCGGATGCGAGGAGGGGCTACGGGACGCACCTCGCCCAGGACAGGTGGAGACTCCGCGATAGCTTCAGGCCGCTGAAACTGCGGCCCAGAGCTCCTCCTCGCCCCCCTCCTGTCGTCACTCTCCTGCTCCTCCTCCTGCTAATCCTCCTCCTCCTCCTCCTCCTCCTCCTTTTCTTCTTCTCCTTCTTCTTCTTCTTCCTTCTCCTCCTCCTCCTCCTCCTCCTCCTCCTCCTCCTCCTCCTCCTCCTCCTCCCCCTTTCCTCCATTCCTCTTCTCCCCATCCCTCACCATTCCTCGCCCCCACTTCGCTGACAGGCTGTCTGCTCCATCAACCCTGTAACTCAGAATCCTCCTCCTCCTTCTCCTGCTCCCAATGGTTCTTCACAGCGCTGGGTGCGTCTTCCCACACGCGCGCTTCTTTTGTTGAGGCTGCTGACTACCCACGACAGACAGGCACGGAAACACGCAACGGGAAACAAAAAGCGTTTTTTCGAGGGCAAGCCCGAAGCGGGAAACACCGTAATGCCAGGGCCAGATCAATCAACTTGACAACACGTGGCAACCAAGAACGGCGGTTGTTTGATGACGAAGCAAGAGTAACACGCATGGAACACGGAAACGCAGCGGGCCAACACGACGCAAAGTCGCCTTCTGGACATTCGGAAAGAACATCGTCACATGCAACAGAGAACAGAAGCAACTCAAAAAGTACAGATACTTCAAACCGTTTTGAATAACATCAGAGCTCCTGCTGCTAAGGGCAGGCCTTTCCCATATATTGGGGCCCTCCTCCTCCCCCGCCTCCTCCTCCCTGGCGAAGTTCTCCCGCGCCCTCCCCTCGGGGGCGTCCAAGAGTGGGGGTGTCTAAGAAGGGGTTTTGCAAATCATGGTGGGAGGCATGTGCGCGGACGAGGTGGGGACCCGTGTACGTATTGAAAGGAGGGAAGGGCCACGAAGCCCAGAAACATATCGTGGTCCTGGCTAAGATACCCTCACTGTCATCACCCCCTCTTGGCCTCGGGTTCTCGTTGCTTGTTTCAAGACTTTGGGAGGCCAAATGCGGCCTGCGTGCGTAAGGCGGGCGCGTGGGGTCTTTGGGCGTGCGTAAGATGTGTACCTTGGCATCCTATTTGCTAATGCGTTTCGGAGTGCCCAAGCGAGTTTAGAGTGGTCGTCGTGGGTATGGTCGCTGTGGGTATGCCTACGGTCAGGAACTTTTGCTGAGCGTGTCGCCCTGGCGGCCCCGGCGGCGCGCTACGCCTTGTGGGCGGATAGCGTGTCGCTCCGCTCGGGACATTGACGCTGGGGGGCTGGGAAGCGGACAGCATGTCGCGCCAAAGCGTGGTGGGCCGGAGCCGGCGGAGCGACGCGCACAAGCTCCCGACCGTCAGCGAGGCGAGAGTGGTGCAGTCTCTACAAGACTCACAGGGAACCCAATCTTGGCCGCCCAGGGCCCCAAATCGAGCTCCTCCTCGCCCGGGCCACGCAGCTGCTCGCCCCCCGCGACCTGCCTGTCGAAGGCCTCGGCCGCCAGCGCGCTCGCCCCCGCCTCTGCGTCCGCCGCGGCCGCCCGCCGCCCGAGGGCCACGGCGGGCTCGCCGGGCGCCCGCGGCGCGGCCGCGTCGCCGAGCGCCAGGGGCACCCGCGGCGCCGCCGCGCCTGGCGAACCTGGCGAGCCCACCGCAGCAGTGGCGGGCTCTCCGGGCTCGCCGGGCGCCCGCGGCGCTGCCGCGTCGCCGAGCGCCGCGGGCGCCGCGGCGCGGCCCGCCCTGCCGCGCGCGGCGGCGGGCCTCTGCCTGCGCGGCGCGGGGGCCCTGGTAGGCCGCGCGGCCGCGGCGGGCGGCGCGACCGTCGCTACTGGCGCCGGGCAGCCCTTGGCCTCCACCACGGCAACCCGCGCCGCCAGTTCGGCGTCCGCGGCCGCCTCCGGCGCAGGGCCGCCCTCGTTGGCCTCCACCATGGCGCTCCACGCTGCCAGCTCGGCGTCCGCGGCCGCGCCACGCGCGTGGTCGGCCACGCACTGGCCCTGGCCCCGGCCCCGGCCCCGGCCCCGGCCCCGGCCTTTGCCGCCCTCCCGCGGGGGCTCTGCGGCCGCGCCCTCCCGGGCGCCATGATCCGGCGATGCGACGGCGCCGCCCTCGCTGGTGTCTCTTCGCCCGCGTCCACGCCCTCGCCCCTTCTTCGCCTTGCCCTTACCCTTGCCGCCATCTGGGGGACGACCGCTGCGGGCCTCGCCTCCAGCTCCCGCGCCGCCTTCCCCCGAGGGGGGCTCCGTCGAGCCCGCTGGGGCCTCGTGCAGGAACTTGCACCTGGTGCCGTGGAAGCAGGTGCCGTTGATTGAAGAAGAAGACTCAGCATGCACATGAACTTTCGGAGGTCGGCGCGGATTTCTTGGATCGGCGCTGGAGCCACTTCCCTGGCGCGCGGAGCGCGCCAGGGGCAGCGCTTGAGGCACCGCCAGGGGGCCCCAGCGCCGAGGAAATATGCGTTGGACCTCTGAAAATTTGTGCTCATGCTGTTATTCTTCTTGGAGCTGAGGTAATACTTGCAGACGCCTCGGCCGATCCTCTGCTCAGGGCGTTCCCTGGCCTTGCCCCACTGCAGAGTCATTGGCTGCACTGGGGCACGGGGCAGCCCGCCCTCCCCGCAGGTCGAGGCGGGCGTGAGCTTCCCTTCCCTGTGGGCTGCCATCACCTTGTCGTTCAGTGCTTCGAACGAGAGGTCGTCCTCGATGGACTCTACCACGCGCTTTGCAGTTCGCAGGTCGTTTGGCAGCTTCTTGTCTTCGCGGAGTCGCTGAAGCACCCAGCCCCCGTCCTCCCAAGCGCCGTCCGACGTGTAAACGTTGTTGTTCCCAGGCGTAAACGTCTTTGCCTCTTTCTGCCACACGCACTCCCCGATTACGCCGTCGAAGGCGTCTGGGTTGCTCTTCAGCTCCTTGAAGAGCTCACCACTCTTGGCAAGCCAGTGACCACAAAACTGGATTTCCCAGTCTCCTCCTTTCTTGATGCCAACGAGGAGCTTCACGTGCACGCTCTGGCCCCCGCCCTTGATGAGCCGCAGCTTGAAGTCGACCGTGTTGAGAGAAGCGGGTTTCCACTTGAACAGCGATGGGCATGAGCCAGTCACGTACGGCACCTGGACGGGCGTAAACACAAGGCCGTCGACCTTGTGCGGGAAGTGCTTCGACAGCCCCATCACGTCCTTAGAACTATAGCCAGGGTGCAGTATCCCCAAACAGGGTTTTTAAACCCACTGCGGTTTCCAAGGTCGCTTGGAGCTCAATATACGAAGGATGTCTCAAACGAAACGGGCCGGACAACCTCTCGCACACGTTCTGACAAGTCCACGTCGCACTCGCTTCCCGTTAGGTCCTCTCCTGCAACTCCCTTCCTTCTCCCTCCTCCTTCTCCTCCTCCTCCTCCTCCTCCTCCTCCTCCTCCTCCTCCTCCTCCTCCCCCTCCCCCTCCTCCTGCCTGCTCCCTCATCCACATCATTCTCATCCTCCTTCTCCATTCCATCTCCTCCTCCTTGTCCTCTTCCTCCTCCACCTCTTCATCCCGAACGGCATCTCGGAGCCCAGAGTTGCGAGGATGTCTCCAGCGTAGCGGGCTGGACCACCTCGCGCGCGGCATCTCGGACCCCAGAGTTGCGACGATGTCTCGGGCGAAACGTGCTGCGAGGAAGCCTCAGGCGAAACGGGCCAGACCACCTCGAGCGCGGCGTCTCCGAACTCCGAGTTGCGGAGGCCTCCTGGGGCCTCCTGGGGACCTCCTGGGGCGTCCTCCTGGGCCTCCTGTGGCCTTCTGGACCCCACCTGGGGCTTCCTGAATCTTCTTTGGGCTCCCAGGGGGGGATATCTAACATGTGGCCGTCTGGGCCCCCCAAATGGGGGGGGGGCACAAGAGCAGGAATTACGCTACCGAGGAACCCCACCATACCTATTGTATTTCCCATGTGTACCCTCGGTGCTTCTGCTGCTGCTCCTCCTTCTCCTCCTCGGTGTCCTCCTCCTGCTGCTGCTTCTGCTGCTGCTGCTGCTTCTGCTGCTGCTGCTGCGTCTGCTGCTGCAGCTGATGCTGCTGCTGCCGCTGCTGCTGCCCCACCTCCCCGTCCTCCTCCTCCTCTTCCTCCTTCTCCTTCTCCTCCTCCTCCTCCTCCTCCTCCTCCTCCTCCTCCTCCTCCTCCTCCTCCTCTACCTCCTCCTCCTACCTCCCAGCGCACCCCCTTTGGCGTCGAGGAAATGCCACGCCTGCCACGCCCTGGGAGCCTACAACGCATAGGGCCCCACCCCCCAGCGCACCCCCTGTGGCGTCGAGGAAATGCCACGCCTGCCACGCCCTGGGAGCCTACAACGCATAGGGCCCCCACCCCCAGCGCACCCCCTTGTGGCGTCGAAGGAATGCCCTGTGTGCTATGCTGTGCTGTGCTGTGCTGCTGTGCGGTGAGCTGTGCTGTGCTGTCCCGTGCTGTGCTGTGCTGTGCTGTGCTGAGTTGAGCTGAGCTGAGCTGTGCTCAGCTGTGCCGTGCTGAGCTGAGCTGAGCTGTGCTGAGCAGTGCTGTGAGGAGGAGGGGAAGAGTGAGGTGTGTGAGAGAGAGAAAGAGAGAGAGAGAGAGAGAGAGAGACGGAGAGGGAGGAGGGGAGGTGAGGAGACGCGGGTGCGACGCGGCAGAGAAGAAAACCATAACCCAACGAAACGAACATGTGGTGTGGTGTGGTGTGGTGTGGTATGGTATGGCGCGGGGTGGTGTGATGTGATGATGTAATGCGGAAGAGAGGGAGGTGTCAACGCGGGTGTGACGCGGGTGTAGAGAAGGGGAGGTGGGTGAGAAACGCGGGTGTGACGCGGTTGTAGAGAAAATCAGAACCCCACTTAGAATGTGGGGAAAATCAACGAATCGACACTGGATGTGTATTAACTTGACACGTTCTGATTAGGGGCCTCGTGGGGCCTCCTGGGAGCCTCCTGGGGATCTCCTGGGGACCCCTGGGGCCTGTCCTGGGCGTCCTGCGGCCTCCTTAAGCTCTCTGGGGCCTCCTGGGGCTCCCAGGGGGACATATGTAACATATGGTTTTCTGGGCCCCAAGGCTGGACCACCTCTTGCGCGGCATCTGGGAGCTCAGAGTTGCGAGAATGTCTTGTGCGAAACGGGCCGGACCACCCCGCGCACAGCATCTCAGAACTCAGAATTGCGAAGATGTCTATGGCGAGACGGGCCGGACCACCTCGCGCAGGGCATCTCAGAGCTCAGAGTTGCGAGGATGTCTCAGGCGAAACGGGCTGAACCACGTCGCGCGCGGCATCTCCGTTGCGAGGATGTCTCAGGCGAAATGGGCTGGACCACCTCTTGCGCGGCAGCTCAGAGCTCAGAGCTTCGAGGATGTCTGAGGCGAAACGAGCCAGAACACCTCGCGCGCGGCATCTCAGAGCTCAGAGTTCCGAGGACGTCTCAGACGAAACGGGCCAGACCACCTCTCCGCGCGGCATCTCGGAATGCAAAAGTGCGAGGATGTCTCAAGTGAAACGGGCCGGACCACCTCTTGGGCGGCATCTCGGGGCTCAGAGTTTGGAGGATGTCTCAAGCGAAACGGGCCGGACCACTTCTCGCGCGGCATCACAAAGCGTAGAATTGTGAGGATGTCTCAGACAAAACGGGCCAGACCACCTCGCGCACGGCATATCAGGGCTCAGAGTTTGGAGGATGTCTCAGGGGAAACGGGCCGGACCACCTCTTGCGCGGCATCTCGGAGCCCAGAGTTTCGAGGATGTCTCAGGCGAAATGGGCTGGACCACCTCTTGCGCGGCATCTCAGAATTCAGAGTTGCGAGGATGTCTCAGGCGAAACGCGCCGGACCACCTCGCGCACGGCATCTCAGAGCTCAGAGCTTGGAGGATGCCTCAGGCGATACGGCCTGGACCACCTCTCGCGCGGCATCTGAGAGCTCACAGTTTGGAGGATGTCTCAGGCGAAACGGACCAGACCACCTCTCGCGCGGCATCTCGGGGCTCAGAATTTCGAGGATGTCTCAGGCGACACGGGCCAGACCACCTCTTGCGCCGCATCTGGGAACTCAGAATTTGCAGGATGTCTCACGCGAAACGCCCAATCCCGGACAACTCAGAAACGAGAGTTGCGAGGATGTCTCAGGCGAAACGGCCCTGTTGAGGACGTCTCTGCTCTGAATTCCCTCGGCCAGAGGTAGCTTCTATCACAACAGCACCCTGCTCAGCAAGCTGTTTGGGGAAAAACGACACGCGACTCAATCATAAACTTTGGGAGGTCTGCGTGGATTTCTTGCATCTGCGCTGGAACCCCCTGGCGACGCCTCTGGCGCCGTCCGTAGCGTGCCTCGCGCGCCAGGGATGGGGGCCCAGTGCCGATGCAATACATCCGCGTGGGCCTACGATCATTTAGTTTTTTCCTATGAGCACGACCGCAGAACACAAGCGCACGATGCCTGTCCACGGGCAAGAGAAGTTCGAATGAACATCAGATCCGCTTCCCCTCGTAGGGGCTACATCCGCACCCATCTGATGCAAGCTCGAGCTCGACAGCGGCGGGGCTCCAGAGTGGCCAGCTGGGTAGACGTCACCACAACCAGGGGGAGGGGGACAAGGGCGAGCCCGAGGAAGGAGGAGGGAGGGAGAGAGGGGGGCTTCCTTGTTTCTCTCACTCGAGTCCTGCATCTGCCAGATCTCGAAGAAGTCTTTCACCAGCAGCTGCACGGGATCGCGCCGCCCGCCTCCCGCCATCATCCGCTCCTTTGGCAGCGCCACGTCCTGGAGCGCGCGGCGGAGCCTGTGCAGCAGGGTCCGGTGCGACACGTCCTCGTCGCAGATGCGGACGGCGTCGTAGACCAGGTACCTGGCCGAAGGACAGCAACGCACGGCACAAAAGCGTAAACCATCGAAGGTCCGCGCGGACCTCAAACAACAGTTTCTGCTTCTGCAGAATTTCCTCCTCTCCTTCGAGCACCGGAGGCGGTCGGCGGTGCCTGGCACCTGGTCAACCACGAGCTCGCCGTCCAGCAACGTGTTGTGGTGCCACCCGGGGGCCCTCGGGTGGCCCGACGGCAGCGGCAGCTGCAGCTGGCACAGCCAGAAGCGGGAGAGCCGGTCGATGAGGAACGTGTGGCCCTGGAGTCCAAACACCCGACGATGTGATTTGTCAGTGCGCGGCCCCAGAGGTGCAAATGTTTCGTCCCGGACTCGTTTTTCATTGCCATGGGGCCGACAACGGGCCCCAGGGGCCGGAATCGAGGAACAACGTCGGGATTGGATGATGGACATCGCCGGAGCTCGTGGTGAAAGCGTGCAGCCTGGAGCGGGCCTTGGGTAACTAGGCCAGGCCACGGGCGGCGTCGGTCAGCTCAAGCCGGCACATGCAATCAAGACCGATCCCATGACCACTTGTGCTGCATCTTTGGGGGACCTGGCCTGCCCCATCGCGCCAACCATCCGTGTCGCATCCATGTCGAATCCATGTCGAACGTGTCAAATCCGAGTCAAATCCGTGTCGAATCTGCGTCGAATCCACGTCGAATGCGAAAGTCGAATCCACGCCAGCGTACAAGAGAAGACTGCCATTCCACAGGACAGGAACGGTCCCCCGAGGATGCAAAGAGAGACCCCTGCCTCCAGGTGGCCCATCCTGGCTCGTTTTCCGGGCCGCGCCCAACCTGTAGCGAGGATCCAGCTCAGCACCACCCGACTCGGCTGCACGCACAGGTGACCCCAGGCACGGGTGACCCTTGGTGCGCGGCTCAACGGGGGACGCGGGGTGGCCAAACCTGGGCGCGCAAGCCGCTGCTACCGCTTCGCGCTCAGCGCTCGGGGGGCCCCTTTGGGCCCGCACCGATGAAGAAGGTCACTCTGGCGAAAGGCCACCCTTACTGACTGCCGGGTTCCACATGTATTTTTTGTTCGATGTTCCCCGACCCCGCCCCACCGGAAATCGAAGGCAAATCGAGGCCCTCGGACCCGGTTGGGGGTGGCTCGGTGCGTGGTGACCTGCGTCCAGTCGACCGACGGCTGTAACCCTTGCTCGGCGCGCGGCCCCGCGGAGGCCCCCCCCCCCGGCCTCGCGGAGGTCCCGCCCGGCGCCCCCTCCGCGCCGAGAAGACCAGCGCGGCGGAAGTCTGGGGCCTCCTCCTCCTCCTCCTCCTCCTCCTCCTCATCCTCCTCCCCCAACCCCTCCTCCTCCTCCTCCTCCTCCTCCTCCTCCTCCTCCTCCTCCTCCTCCTCCTCCTCCTCCTCCTCCTCCTCCTCCTCCGCGTTTGGTGCTCCCGGGGGCCCGACGGCTCGAGCAGGGTCGGGCCCAGGCCTGAAGCATCCTTCAAGAGCGTGAGGCCCTCCGCCGGACCACGCACCCCAGACCCTGGGATCATCATTCGAGGTTAGCTGGCCTCCCCCAGGATGCGCGGGAACATCCAACAAACACGGAGAACAGGAGGGTGCCCTCCCCGAACCGACCTCGATCTTACACCTCGGTCCGACTGTAGGGGGTCGACTGCAGAATTGACTCACCCAGAACTGCTCTTTGTCAAATCCGCCGACCCCTTGTGGGTCTCTAGGCGTGCGAGATGGTTCCCCCCCCCATAACCCCCCCAAGGGCTCACAAACGGGAGATTTGACCCCCCCCCCGGCCCCGGGCGACCCCGGACCGAACGCGTCACGGGGGAGCGGAGGGTTCCAAAACTGGCCATGAAGACACCAGAACGCTCCCCAGACGGTCCCAGGGGCCACGATTCGCCGAAATATGGCCCTGGACGCCCACGATGGCCTCCAAGCGGCCTCCGAAGCTGCCGAGACGCCCCAAGAGGCCCCCAACAGACGCCCCAAAAGGGTCCCAAGAAACAGAAATCGTCCCATTCCCTTTCGAAAAACAAGCATTTTTCGCATGCTCGCATATTCGGTTTCCACAACGTCCCAGATGGGCAAAAAAAAAACCTTCAATAGCGCCCCCAGACGGCGAAAGGGGCCCCCAAGAAGGGTCGAAGAGGGTCCAACAAAAGCCCCCGAAGCCCCCAAGACAGCCCAAGAGGGCCCCCAGACGGCCCCAAGACGACACCTGTGCGAGCCTTCGGCCCCAAGACGCCCCCAGCCTGCCCCAAGAAGAGCCCAAGAGGCCCTGAGGGACCCCCCAAAGAACCTCAAAGGCCTCCAAGAAACCCCCAGGAAGCCCCAAAGAGGCCCCCAAACTTGGCCCAAGATGCCTCGAGGCGGCCAGATATGGCCTGCAGACAGGCCAAGATGCCACCAAGAGGCCACAAAAGAGCAACAAGAGGTGCGATAACAGCAACGAAATAACAGGAACGATGTCGAGCGCCGTGTCATGATTCGGACAAGCCTCGTGAAATGCAGTCCTGGAGGCGCAGTACCTTATATAGGGGTCGGCGGATGTGGCGTAAGCCTATAGAATCCACGTCCGGAAGTGACGTGTTGCCGGAGGCAGGTCGCGTAGCGGAGCGGAAGCCCTAATGCAACGTATCCAATGTATCCAGTGATTGCGTAATTGCTACATATTGCATTGTGTTGCATCGTTTATCTCTCCCCCCCTACCCCCCCCCCGGAGTCGCGCCACTTCCGTCGACCCAAAGGTGGAGGGCCCCTTTGTGGGCCTAAAAACCTACAAGAACCTATAAGAAATCAACAAGTTCGGCCTCTTGGGGCCCCAAGACGGTTTCAAGACGGCCCAAGATGGCCCCAGAGGGCCCATGAGGCCCCGAAGAAGGTCCAAGAGGCCCCCAAGAAGACTCCCGAGAGCGCCTCCAGAGGCCAAAATCTTAGAATTTCCTACAGTTTTGGAACAATTTCAACGTTCTCGCCTTTTTCGGCTCTCAGAAGGCCATGACGGCCCAAGCAGCCTCCAAGAAGGCCCCCAAACGGCCCAAGAGGCCTCCAAGGGGGTCCCAAGACGGCCCAAGAGGGCCCCGAGACGGCCAAAAAAGCTTTCAAGACGGCCCAAGAAGCCCCCAAGACGGCCCCAGAAGACCCCAAGAGAGCCCCAAGGCGGCCGCGAGAGGCTTCCAAAGTGGCTTCCGAAGTGGCCAGACGGCGTACCAAAGACGGCCCAAGACGTCCCCAAGAGGCCTCCCAGAGGCTCCAAAAAGCCCCTAAGAAGCTTCCAAGAAGCTCCCAAGAGACTCCCAGGAGGCCCCACAACGACTGGACTGAACGTGCTCTGAAACACCCTCGGTGAGTCACTAAACAATAATATCCCGCCCTGGGCGAACCGCGGCGCAGCGCCAGCCACATGGAAATTGGTCACGGCGGCGTCCGTGATCAGAGCCAGCGCTGGAAGGGAGGAGGGGGAGGGGAGAAGGAAAAGGAGAGATGGCAGGAGGCGGGAGGGAGGGGTAGCAGAGGCACAGAGCGCCCCAAAACAGCCCAAGACGCGCAAGAAGGGCCCCAGGAAGCTCCCAAGAGAACCCCACAGACGCCCACCACAAGACCCCCAAGAGCTCCCAGGACACTCCGAAACGACTGGACTGTACGTGCTCCGGACGTGCACCCCGCGAAGCGAGAGGAATCTACGAGACGTGCGCTGGCTGTCCGCAGATCTCAGAACATTCCGCGCAGTTATTTTGGATTCGACGAAGAAATCGATTTTGGGGTTCATATCAATTCTGAGGTCGGGTCCCTGCTCGGAGGACGGGCCCCAGAAGCCCTAATTCGGCGGTGGACAAACCTCCCTTCAGTAGACCTCCCCTTGGTGAAAACGACCTGGGACCGACACCGACGGACCTGGACCCGCAAACATAGCGGCTGCGACGCCCTCTCGCGAACCGAAAACGTGCAATTCCTTAATCGACGTGTCAGGGTAGGAGGTCTATCAAACCCCGACTGGTCGAAGATCCGCTGGGATCCGACACGGCGGCCCGTCCGAGCTCGGGGCCCCCCGGCGGCCTCCGGGGGCAGACCTCGGGTCTCCGGCGGCCGTGCGCGACGATCCCGGGCACGCGAGCGACGCGCTCGACGGGGCGCAGCCGCTGGAGAGCATCCCGAGGAGGGGGGAGGGCGAGGAGGAGGGGGGGGAGAGGAGGAGGGGGGGAAAGGAGGAGGAGGAGGAGGAGGAGGAGGAGGAGGAGGAGGAGGAGGAGGAGGAGGAGGAGGAGAGGGGAGGAGGAGGAGGGAGGAGGAGGAGGAGGAGGAGGAGGGGGAGGAGGACGAGGAGGAGGGGGGGAAAAGGAAGAGGAGGAGGAGGAGGAGGAGGAGCCAGCGAAGCACCCTGAAAACCGACCGAAACCCACGATACCCTCCACGGTCGAAAGCCAAAAATCAGGAGGGAAAAAAACACACAGACACAATTCATCGTCGATTCCCCAGAAAGTATGGAAAACTATGGGAAGTGGGGGGAAGAAGAAACCCAGAAAAATATGAACAAATATGGGGAATTATTAGATTTGTGTGTATTTATTTGTGTGTCCCAGGGTCCCTTCAAAAAAACAGCTCGTCCGGATCCGGGAGAGCGGGCCGCCCTGGCAGCCTCGTGCGCCAGGAGCAGGTGCCGCTCGCCGTCCGTCTTCTCGCAGACGAGGTAGGCCTCTCGCAGCAGCCGCTCGTCCGCCTTCTGGCGCGTGAGCGATGTTGGCTGAGCCCCCGGGAACGCATCCGGCACCTGTCTGGGCGGGTGGGTGGAGGAGGGGGACGAGGAAGCCGGCCAATGCCTCGCCGCGCCGAAGGAGAAATCATGAGCGCCCTGATTTTCCCATTCTCTTATCTTCGGCCTCTGGAGGCCCCCACCGTGGGGTGGGGGATGCGAAGGACGAGGAGGATGATGAGGAAGTGGAGGATGAGTAACGGCTGCAAGGACGGGAACGGATCCTGGCGGAAACGGGTCCTGGACCGCGGTGCCCTGAGCAGGTTTGTTGTTGACGGTCCCAGGGCCTGGACATGGTCCAATTCGGGTGACTCGGCATGGGACCGCAGCCGAATCGGCTGCGCCAGGATGTACAACAACGCCACGCATACATCGGGCCGCACCCGACCTCGGGAGCGGCCAAGAGGGAGGTGTCCAAGAGGGGGGGTGCAAATCATGACCAGCGGCATGTGCGCGGCCCAGCGGGGGGGCCAGGGACGTAATGAAACAAGAAGGGGCGCCATGAAATCTGGGGAAATTAGTCTTCGGCGGGGAGCTGAATGACCACACTGGAGTGCCACCCGCCGAACACATCACAGACGAATTTGACCCCATAGGACCTCTTTTTCCCCGGCCCGAGTACTACTGTATGAAGAAGATGAGAATATACCTTGAGCAGTTCGGACTTTGTCTCATCAGCGTCTTCGTAGGCGGTGAGGACACATACTTCGGGAAATTAAGCGGTACGCAAGTTGACTACATTGGGGCTCCCCGTACGTGGCTCTCCTCAGTCACCTAGTGGAGTTCTACAGAAACTCGGCAGACTTCTCGAAATGGTCCCCACGGGTCGCAGATGGGACCATTGGCCCCTGCAGGTCTCCGTGAAGTACCTCCTCAGCTTCCCTGCAGCACCCTGTACACAGGCTGGGTCTTGGGATGCTGATCGGCTGGTAAACGGTGTTGTGCATGGCCTCTTGCGTGATAGATTTCTCAAGGAGATTGAGGACATATGCTTTCGCACCTTCCCCGCCTGGTCCCAACTTGAAGGAAAGGCCACCCCTGACAGGGCCTGGGGCCTGGGAGAAGTTCGTGGGAGATGTTCGAAAAATTGCTCTGGAGTATTTTGCGAGACATACCGAAGCCGACGCCAACTACGACCAGAAACGTGAACCCCAACGAGCCCTACTCCGACAACGATTCGAGCTTAGAGAACAACTGAGTGCCCTTCCTGCTGTCCTCATTGCTGACAGTGCGCACTTCCAGGAGCTCACTCACGTGCAATCTCAGTTGTTCTCGGTGACCAAGCAGATCAAGCAGCGCCGAGATGCGGACAGAGATCAGCGCATGGAAGCGCTTGCAGATCAGATATGGGACGCATGGAAGGCGTCCAGGTGGTCTCTGGCCCACCGGCTTCGTAGAAAACTCGCCTGCACAACAATTGGGCCAGGCCGCCGCTTTTTCAATCGGCCGATCAGCATGCGACCGACGATCCAGATATGGGCTGACTTTCTCGCACAGTGCGGGCTGCTCGGCGACCAATCTGCATTGCTTGCTGCTCTTCCTTCCCTGCCAAAAGATCGTTTTCATAATGGGCTGGGACTTCGCTTTTACGGACCAGGTTCAAAGATGAGGCGGAGGAGAACTTACAAGGCATATGCTCGTCGTTCCTTAAGATGGCCTACAGAAAGAGCGCCCCCCTCCATGGAGCTTGCCGATGGAAGCTTTTTCGGATGATTTTCCTCCCTATCTATTGACACCCCAAATGCAATGACCAACAATATGAATTCGCTGCGACGCTCCCTGACATGGCCTGGTTTTCACGTCGAATTCGAGGATTTCTTTGGGACGTCCGAGGAGGGGCCCGTCTACCACTCGACTGGCACCGCTCTTGGGGATGCAGCATGCCCAAACCCGCGGCTACCTCACCTGGCCTTCGTTCCATTCGCCTAGTTCGCCGCATGTGCCCCTTCAGCAAGGCATGCAGCGGACACCTTGGGCAGCGAGGTGATCTGTGCTACCCATAGCGAGTTTTTGCAGACCACCTCCACGGTGGCATTCGGCACAGGCGGCGCGAATCTGCCATGCAGATTCAACTAAACACAGGATGGCGATTGTCTCGCCTACGCAAGTCGCACTGTCCTTTTTTACGATCAGGCCAATGCCTTTGGGAGTACCAATGCTGAGTTTTTAGATGCAACAAATCATCTTCACATGCGTCCAGATGATATCGATTTTGGACAACACAGCAACACAGCAACCATCATAGTATTATTACGTTGTTCTGATGGGGTGGGGAACTATCTGATCCAAGAGGGCGTCTTGCAGGGTCACCAATTAGCCCCCGTCAAGTATATCCGCAGCTTCGATCGTGCAGTACTCGCGCCTTGGGTTGCAGAGCGACAAGCTCAGCCTGGAGGTCGCGACCTTATGTGCAACAACCCGATGAATGATATTCCTGGCCAAGGCATTGATTTGTTTACTACGGTTTACCTGGGTGATACAGCTCATAATGTCGTAGCCCCTACAGCCTCAGCAATGGCCGACCAGGCCTGTGCAACCACCGCCAACTTTTCTCATTACTTTTCCCTCGCGGGCGGCGCCCTGAACCACGACGAGCAGGCCGCGGTGCCCCGTTTCGTGGGCACAGGCGCCTTTGTCGAATCTCGGTCATTCACTGACCCAGCACGTGCTCTCCCTGGGCGTGTATGCACGCATGCGAAGTATCTTGGTGCACAATTTCATGGCGCGGGTGCCGCAACGCAACAGAGACTTGCCACGCAACCAAAACATGGGGAGCGCATGGTATGCAATGGACAGGTTATGGCATGTAAAATGAATACCCCTACGTATCCAACTCCTCGTTTTCCAAGCGCGCCCGTGCGGTCTGCTGGGCTCTAAGGTCTCGAGGCGTTCGTTCCGCCTGCCAGCGACTTTAAGCTTATCGATGGCCTGTTGTCCTTCTGCGAGGCGCAGCAGTACTCAAGATCCCGCAGGCTGATGGCAGTGTGAAGCATGTTTCCCATCCAGCAGTGCGCATTTGGGCCAGTCTTGGCCTGGCGCCCTCGCAGCTTGAGCTCCGCATGCGTCGTTTGCATTGGCTGCAGGAGGTGGTCGCTCACCGCTCAGAGAACCGACGCCTGCTCGTGGCATTTTTCGGCCAGATGCGCGACGAGAGGTACCCGACAATTGAACATGGATTGCTTACCAGAGACGACAATGGGCACATGCGTGGGAACCCTTGGGCCCTTCAAGTCCTCAACGATCGTAGCGCGATTGTTCATGTTGAAAAGGGACCCGAACTCCTCGCCGCCATGGGACGCGTGCACCTTCAGGCTTTCACCAGCGAGTTTAACACGCAGTTCTCCGAATTAACCTTTGCCAAGCTCCGCAACAAGTACTGGGAGGGGAGATTAACGAGTTCGGCAGGGGGCAGGTGGGTGAAGGTGGAGGAGATGTTCCTGGAGGCTCTGGAGACCCTGATCCCGCCCCCCCCTTCGGGTCTGGCGTTGCATGGAAACGAAGGCTGATGGTACAGAATGTGGCTTGGAATTTCATGATCAACACGGGTGGTGTACACACAAGAGGTTCAGCACGGAAGGAAGTCGTGGACATCGGGACTTGCCTCAGCTTCTCACCGCCACCAACCAATGCCCGTGTTGCATGAGCACGCACTCGACAATTGCGATCTCTCGGCAGCATGTTCGCATATCATTCATCAAGCGAAGTTGCCAATGCGACCGCAGCCCGATACATCATGGAATTATCCCTCCACTGACTTTCGAATGTCCAGCATGCAGTGTCGATCATCCATCGCTCGTGGCTCTCCTGCGGCCTATTCGCGCGCGCGTTGACCTCGCAGACGCCACATTCTCGTTCGCTGACCCCGATGGCGTGGGCGTTGACCGTCGGCCAGAGCGAGATGGGCAAGCGAAGAAGCGCCTTGCAGAAGCCCCACCGACGAGCCTGTTGACCGCTGGCGACAGCGGCAAGTCGCACGAGCACGCGCCCAGGCACCGGCGGCAGAAGGCAAGCCCCTCCGACTCAGCGGCCATCGTGGAGGACACCGACTCGGAGGACGAGGCAGCCGTCGAGGTGATGAAGGGCCATCTGAATACAGCTCAAAGGCAGCGAGCTCTCGAGGGATGCCTCTTCAGCACGCACCTCGTGCCCAAGGAGCACCAGCTCAACTACGCGACGATCGGAGCCGCTCAGACGTACGCCGACACGGTCAAGGAGACGCCCACGGACCACGGCTTGGGACCACCCAGCCTGCAGGTCGGGCTCGCGGCCCTCGAGGCGATCAGCACCCAGGAAGCTCTCAGGCAGAACCCGCACCTAGTGGAGCATCTGAAGTCGCTGGACGCCCTCATTCTTCAACTGGAGGCGCAGCCAATGCCCGTCGCCTGCGAGACGTTGCGCTACTGGCGGGCGAAGACCGCCTTCGTGAGGGAAGGCGCGCCGCCTCTCGTTCGCCACGCGTTTTTCGTCAACGCTTGGGTTCAGAACCAGGCAGGCCTCATGATATCGATGAACTCGACTCTCACAGCTCTGTTCTCGGCCATGGGCAGTACACCGAAGTTGGGACCACCCCCGAAGACCACCCAGGAGAGGCGCTGTCAGAATTCGCTAGAGAAGATACTCAAAGGAGCCGTCCACAGGAAGAGCCAATGAGCCCAGACCCCAATCCTTCCCCGTCGAGGCCTCCTCCTCCGCCCCCTCAGAATCCCCCGAACAGGCCACAGCTGGCCTCCTTAGGATCTGTCTCTGAGCGCGGCCAGGTACAAATCCCACCAGCCCTTTGGGCGTGAGTGGTTTAGAGAGCCCGCTCTGTTCTCAACCCCCTTCTTCCCCTTCGGGGAAGGGTTGACCCCTCCCCCTACCCCCTCCCCCTGGGCCTGGAGAGGGCGCCCCGCGGGTCGTTGGAGGGGTCTTTTTCGACTCCTGGGAGGGCTAAAAAACGACACCCCTCACGAGGATTCTGGCCCCGACGGGGGGAGGCAGAAAAGTGCTCCCCTCTTCTTTGAAGCCAGAATCATTGATTTTACTACGGTTTTGGCCCCAGTTTGGCCTTTTGAGGGGGCAGCGCTGATTAAAGCTCCCCTCTTCTTTCAAGCCAAAATCATTGATTTTCCTAAGGTTTTGGCCCCATTTTGGCCTTCTGAGGGGGAAGCGCTAATTAAAGCTCCCCTCTTCTTTGACCGATTTCCTCCAAGATGGCCCCAAGAAGCGCCCAGGAGGCACCAAGAGGCCCCAAGCTGGCCCCAAGAGGCCCCCCAGGAGGCCCCCAAGAGGATCCCAAACGGCCCAAAGAGGCCCCCCCGAGGCACCCAAAACGCCGAAAAGCCCATCAGGACGACCCTCTACTGGCCTGGGCGTCGTTTCTGGACGGGCAGGAGGAGGGGCCCGAACGACTCACACCAGGACGAGGGGCCCGAACAACTCACACCACGAGAAGCCCGAACGACTCACACCAGGACGAAGAGCCCGAACGACTCACACCACGAAGAGCCCGAACGACTCACACCAGGAAGAAGGGCCCGAACGACTCACACCAGGACGAGAAGCCCGAACGACTCAAACCACGAGGAGCGCTTTCTCTCCCTCCTCCTCCGCCTCGTCCTTCTCCCGCTCCCACCACAAGGAGGATGTACAAGGAGGCGGGAGGAAGGAGGAACAGGGGAGATATGCGGGGGCAGGCGGAAACACGCCTGAAAAACACGACTGTCGGCATGCTTCGCTAGAGTTGCTGTTTTGAGATGGGCTGGTGGGGATACGCGAAGCGTGACGAATTCTGGGAGAGTGGGACCCCTTGGTGCGCCCCAAGCAAAGGCCGTTGTCGAAACAGAGCACGAAGCAACGGCAAAGTTACTGGCAAATCGAATGGCAAGTCGTATTTTCAGCTACGATATTTTGTATCGCGAGGGTTCTGAACGATGCCCCTCGCCTCGTATACTGTCGTGGGGGCATGCTGTACCCTCCTTTGAATCTTTCTCGGCCTGGCTGGCCGACCTCTCCCCCGTCTCCCCTTGCTGCCGCCGCCCCCCCCGCTGCCGCTGCGTCCCTCTTGTCCCCTCTGCGTCTCCGAGATCGTGTCTTCACGTGCAGGCCTCTCGACCCTGTGCTGCAATCAGGAAGTCCCCATGCTGACTGCTGGGGGAGGGGCCCTCGTAGAGTTTTGACCTCGGCGGGAGCACAGTGCCTCCCGAACGCCCTGCGGCCACAGACCCCATCGAGCCACTCGAGACGTGGCCATGCGCAATTAGCGAGCGAGCGAGAGAGCCTCCTCCTCCTCCTGCTCCTCCGTCACTCCTCCTCCTCCCTCCTCCCTCCTCCCTCCTCCCTCCTCCTCTCCTCCTCCTCCTTCTCCTTCTGCTGCTCCTCCTCCTCCTCCTGCTCCCCTCCCCCAGACGTGTCGGTAGAGGTAGAGACGGGCGTTCCTATTTATCATGACGGAACTTCGAATTCGCAACAGTTGCAATGATGAGTGGGGGGTCGTTTTCGTAATATGGCTCTCGCCTCTGCGCCAAGCACGTCCATCTGAAAGGTTCACAACAGCTTCAAGGATGGAGGGGTGGTTGTGGTTTTCGAAATGTGGCTCTCGGGGCGGAGAGGGGGGTTGTCAAAATGGGGCTCTCGCCTCAGCACCACGGATTTTCGTCGTAAAGGCTTGCCTCAACTACCAGGATGGAGAGCGGTTGCTTTTCAAAATTGGGATCTCGCCTGGGCGCCGCGTACATTCGTATGACAAGCTCAACAGTAATTCCATCAGCCCTCTGGGCGTGAGTGGTTTAAGGCGGTTTCTCTTCCACCCCCCCTTTTTCTCTTAAGAGACGGTTTTCACTGCTCCCTATTTATGAACACCCCATTCCCCAAACGACTGGCAGCCAACCTGGCCCCATGCGTCCACCCCCCACCCCCACCATCCTTGTCAACAAACACTAGATTAAAGTTTTTGCCCCCAAATCTGGAGCATGCGCGGGCGCCCCGCGACCATTTTGCAATAGTTTTTGACAGGGATGGCGGGGGTGCCGGCACATTGCTTGCTGCGCGCAAGCCAACACTCTCCCATCGTCCTTTTTGCAGAAAGCCACACGAAGTGCAATGTGCACCAAAATCTGGATCGAGCGCGGACGCCCCGCGATCACTTTGCTTTGGTCTGGCAGGGGCGGCGGGGGGACAGCAAACCGCATGCTGTGGGCAATATCAACACCCCCCAAACCATCCCTTGCACAAAAAAAATAAATAATACAACATTCACTTTGCACCCACGCCTGGATCATGTGTGTGGGCGCCTCGCGCTCACACTGCCTGGTTGATGGCAGGGGTGATGGGGGTGCCAGCATGTTGGCTGCTGTGTGCAGGCCCACCACCCCTCTCAAAAACAACCGATCTCATTCTGCCAGGGACGGCGGGGGGGAATGGCGGCATGCTGCCTGCTGTGCCCCAGCCCACCATCCCTGTCAGAAGACATGCAAGGCGATCGTGGGTGCACACCCGCACACAACAAAACCACCATCACTTTGCACGGTTTTTGACAGGGACGGTGGGAGTGTCGACGGATTGCCCAATTTTACGCATCTGGTGCGCGTGGCGCATCTTGAATGTGTGGCGAACCTCGCGGGCTTCGCGCACCTGGATGGCGCCTGCATTGGTTCCCGATGGTTGCCGATGGCGGCTCCTGTTCATGCTGAGACTCGAGTACTACTTATGTGTTGGGCGGGCGGGTGGGAATGAGCGAGACCGTTTGTTGCTTGTGGGTAGCTTGATCCCTCCCCCTACCTCCTCCCCTGGAACTGGACGGGAGGTGCCGCGACCCATTCGAGCGTCCAAGAGGGTCTCGGCGAGAAGGCGCACATCATGGATGCTACTCAGGTTTTGGGCCCATTTTGGCTCGCCTGGGGGGGGGGGTATGCAAACCAATGCTCCCCCCTTCTGTGATCGAATTCCTCCTGGATGGCCCCAAGATGGCCCCCAAGGCTCCCAAGAGTGCTCCAAGAGGGCCCCAATGGGCTCCAAGGAGGCTCCAAGAGGTCCCCAAGAGGCTCCCAAGAGACACCCAAGAGGCTTTCCCAGGCACCCAAGACGCTCCAAAAGTCCCCCAGGACCGCCAAGAGGCCCCCAAGACGCTCCAAGATGACCCTAAGAAACTCTCAAGAGACGTCCGAATAGACTCCGAGAAGCATTCAATATGTCTGTGGCCTTTCTGCCCGCCCTTTTCCTCGTCGTTTTCCTCATCCGCCTATTCCTCCTTGTCCTCCTCCTCCTCCTCCTCCTCCTCCTCCTCCTCCTCCTCCTCCTCCTCCTCCTCCTCCTCCCCCTCCTCCATTGGTATGACGGCCCCCAATATTTGATTGCACTGCACGCTCCTCCACATCTGATCGGAACAACTCGCCTGGGCATCATTTCTGGATGGGCGGGTGGGGTTACGCGGAGCGCCTATAATAATGATAATAAAGGCGGTTCCCTTTCAACATTAGGCTCTCGCTTGAAACTGCAAGAACCAACAACTCGAACATATGTAGCAGCTGCATGGATGGAGGGCGGCTCCTTTTCGAAATGGGGCTTTCGACAGACTTCCTCGAACCCCATGACCAGAAGGAATAACAAGTTACGCAGTTGGTGGGGCGGTCCTTATCAAAACGGGGCTCGCTGGACACCTCGTTCAACTGCAAGGCGAGACCACTCGGAATTTCTTATTATTCGCTAGACAGATGCACGGCAATTCCTTTTCAAAGCGGGGCTCTCACCATAATTGCAGGGCCAGAGGGTGCCGGACTTTCAGGGGGGCGCTTATAGTAGTGGGGAAGAATATTCGTGAGGGTTTTTGAAGAGTGAACTTGGGATGGGAGGGCGTATCGCGGCATCGTTCATGCATCTTGAATTTGCTCAAGTCTTCCTCTTCCTCCTCCTGTTTCTCTCCTTTCTCCTCCTCCCGCTCCCACTCCTCTTCCTGCTCCTCCCCCTTCCTCCCTCTCCTCGTCCCCCTTCCTCCCGTTCCCGTGCCTCCTCCCCGTTCCTTCCCCTCCTCCTCCTCCTCCTCCTCGTCGTCCTCGTCCTCCTCGTCCTCCTCCTCCTCCTCCTCCTCCTCTCCTCCTCCTCCTCCTCCCCCTTCCCCCTCCTCCTCCTCCTCCTCCTCCTCCTCCTCCTCCTCCTCCTCCTCCCTCCTCCTCCTCCTCCTCCTCCTCCTCCTCCTCCTCCCTCCTCTCCTCCTCCTCCCCTCTCCTTCTCCTCCGCCTCCTCCTCCTCCCCTCCTCCTCCTCCTCCTCCTCCGCCTCCTCCTCCCCCTCCTCCTCCTCCTCTCCCTCCTCCTCCTCCTCCTCCTCCTCCTCCTCCTCCTCCTCCTCCTCCTCCTCCTCGGGTCGGCGCTGGCTGGCGCCTGCCCGCCCGCGAACTCGTTGCAGAGCCGGAGCAGCTCCCGCTCCCGGGGCAGAGGCGGGCGCTCTCGGTGCCCCCGCAGCAGGGTCAGCCCGAGGGCGGCCTTGTCCATGGCCCGGCGGGCGGCGCGCTGTTCGGGCCCCGCGGGGAGCAGGAGCAGGAGCGACGGGCAGATATGAAAAAAGGGGGGAGGGGCCCAGAGATCCGACGTTCCAAAACAAGTGGCACGTGTGCCATAGCCCTTGCACAAAAAGGAGAGGGGAGGAGGAGGAGGAGGAGGAGGAGGAGGAGGAGGGAGGAGGAGGAGGAGGAGGAGGAGGAGGAGGAGGAGGAGGAGGAGGAGGAGGAGGAGGAGGAGGAGGAGGAGGAGGAGGAGGAGGAGGAGGAGGAGGAGGAGGAGGAGAGGAGGAGGAGGAGGAGGAGGAGGAGGAGGAGGAGGAGGAGGTGGAGGAGGAGGGGGGAAGAGGGGGCAAGGCATCGCCCTCTGGGCCCAGCAACGGGGCCCAAGTCCCAGGTGGGGAGGGTGGGGGAGGCGGCGTGCGTCGCGACGCGGAATAAAGTGCTCGGAGCGGAGGGAGCACGGGGCGGAGGTCCCACTGGGGCGCTGGGGGCGCGGAGAGGAGGGGGGGTGGTGCCCGCGACGCGGAATAAACTGTCGGGGCGGAGGGGGCACTGGGCGGGGCTTGGGGCAGAGGGCCACGGGGCGGGGGTCCAACTGGGGCGCTGGGGAAAGGGGGGGAAGGTGGGAGGTGGCGTGCGTCGCGACGCGGAATAAAATTGTCGGGGCGGAGGGGCACGGGGCGGAGCCCCCACTGGGGCGCTGGGGACGCGGGGAGGGAGGTGGGGGAGGTGGTGTGCGGCGCGACGCGGGATGAAGCGTTAGTGGCGGAAGGGGCAGTGGGCGTGGCCCCCGCTGGGGCGCTGGGGACGCGAGGGGGCTCGGGGCGGAGAACCACGGCGCGGGGGTCCCACTCTGGCGCTGGGGGCGCGGGGGGGGGGGTGCGACGCGTAATGCAGCGTTCGTGTCGGAGGGGGCAGTGGGCGGGGGCCCCGCTGGGGCGCTGGGGGCGCGGTGGGGCTCGGGGCAGAGAGCCACGGCGCGGGGGTCCCAAACTGGCGCTGGGGGCGCGGAGGGGGGGGAGGTGCGACGCGGGATAAGGCGTTCGTGGCGGAGGGGGCAGTGGGCGGGGCCCCCGCTGGGGCGCTGGGGACGCGGTGGGTTCGGGGCCGAAAGCCACGGCGCGGGGGCCTCACACTGGCGCTGGGGACGCGGGGGGGCGGGGGGGGGGCGACGCGGGATAAAGCGTTCGTGGCGGAGGGGGCAGTGGGCGGGGCCCCCGCTAGGGCGGGGCCCCCGCTGGGGCGCTGGGGACGCGGGAGGGCTTGGGGCAAAGAGCCACGGCGCGGGGGCCCCACTCTGGCGCTGAGGACGCGGGGGGGGGGGAGCGACGCGAAATAAAATGGTCGGAGCTCTAGACACCCTGTGCAAGAGAATAAAGTGGTCGGGGCGGAGGGGGCGGCGCGCTGGGCTGGGCTGGGGGAGAAGGGGAGGGGAGGGGCGACGACGACGCCGAAATAAAATGGTCGGGGCGGAGAGGGCGGCGCGCTGAGCTGCTCGGGAGAGGGGGATGGGGGGGGCGACGACGACGCCGAAATAAAGTGGTCGGGGCGGAGAGGGCGGCGCGCTGGGCTGCTGGGGAAAAGGACAGGACGACGCCGAAATAAAGTGGTCGGGGCGGAGGGGGCAGCGCGCTGGGCTGCTGAGGAGAGGGAGAGGGGGGGGGGGGCGACGACGACGCCGAAATAAAGTCGTCGGGGCGGAGGGGGCGGTGCGCTGGGGTGCTGGGGAGCGACACATAGCGACACATGTCGACACAACGCCGAAATAGGGCGACGACGACGCCGAAATAAAGTGGTCGGGGCGGAGAGGGCGGTGCGCTGGGCTGCTGGGGAAAGCGACACATGTCGACACAACGCCGAAATAGGGCGACGACGACGCCGAAATAAAGTGGTCGGGGCGGAGAGGGCGGTGCGCTGGGCTGCTGGGGAAAAGGACCGGGGGGGGGCGACGACGACGCCGAAATAAAGTGGTCGGGGCGGAGGGGGCAGCGCGCTGGGCTGCTGAGGAGAGGGAGAGGGGGGGGGGGGGCGACGACGACGCCGAAATAAAGTCGTCGGGGCGGAGGGGGCGGTGCGCTGGGCTGCTGGGGAGCGACACATAGCGACGCATGTCGACACAACGCCGAAATAAAGTGGTCGGGGCGGAGGGGGCAGCGCGCTGGGCTGCTGAGGAGAGGGAGAGGGGGGGGGGCGACGACGACGCCGAAATAAAGTCGTCGGGGCGGAGGGGGCGGTGCGCTGGGGTGCTGGGGAGCGACACATAGCGACACATGTCGACACAACGCCGAAATAAAGTGGTCGGGGCGGAGGGGGCAGCGCGCTGGGCTGCTGAGGAGAGGGAAAGGGGGGGGGGGGGGGCGACGACGACGCCGAAATAAAGTCGTCGGGGCGGAGGGGGCGGTGCGCTGGGGTGCTGGGGAGCGACACATAGCGACACATGTCGACACATATCGACATATAGAGACATATATCGACACACACATATCGACGCATAGCGACACACAGCGACACATAGCGACGCACACATGGAGACGCATAGCGACACACAGCGACACATATAGCGGCACATGAAGGGCACAAGGCACACAGCGACACATATAGCGACACATGAAGGGCACAAGGCAGCTGGGGGGAGCGACGACGACGCCGAAATAAAGTGGTCGGAGCTCTAGACACCCTGTGCAAGATAATAAATTTGAGCAAACGGTTTTGGGCTGTTTTCAACCTCCAGGGGCCCTCGCCGGGCCTCGGAAGCGTCAAAAAAACGACTCAAGACGAAAAGCCGGTCCCAATGAAGTGGTCCAGACCTCCAGGGCCCACGCACCGACAAAATTTGGAGCAGCCGGGTGTCTGGGGGGGGGGCTGGCACAAAGGGGGGGGACATCGGCCCCGACTCGGCGATACACCGCCGACGGATCGGCTGCAGGCCCCCGATGGTGCATCTGCGCGTTCCTGAGGGGGGGGGGGCATGGCTCTCGGGCCACCGTCGGCAATGAACGGGAGATTGGGGTTCGATGCGCCCCCCACCCTCCTGAGAACGGGGGATTGTAGCGGCCCTCGCCTTTCGAGCGGTGATTTCGCATGGTTTCATTGAGGTTATCATATCATTCCTCCTATTCCTTTTCCTCTCTTTCCTTCCCCTCTTCCTCCTCCTCCTCCTCCTCCTCCTCCTCCTCCTCCTACTCTTCTAATCCCTATCGTCCTCTCCCTTCTCCGCCTCTCCCTCCTCTTTCTCCTCCTCCCTGCCCAGAGTTGTGCGCCGCCGCCGTTTTTTTTGTTTGGGTGCGTTCTTCCTCTGCTTTCCTTTTCCTGGGGGTGGGGGTTGGGGGTGGGGATGGGGGTGTGGAACGGGGAAAGGGGGGAGGAGGAGAAGGAGGAGGGGGGGAGGGGGGGGGCGTGCTTGTTTTGCGGTTGCCCCCCCCCCCCCAGCGGGGGGAAACAACAAAAAAATCGGCGGCGGCGGCGCCGACTTTATTTTTGTTGGGGGGTGGAAGGAGGAGGACGCGCAGGAGAAGCAGGAGGAGCATGGGGAGAAAGTGAAGGAGGAAAAGGAGGAGAAGGATTGGGCGGGCGTCGCGGGGGGTGAAAAACAAAGGCCCAGGGGCAGGGGCAGGAGCTGGGGGGGAGGAGCAGGAGCTGGAGGAAAAAAACAGGCGCTGCTTTTATTCAAAGGCAATGGCGAACGCAAGCGCACCACCACTGAGCCGGACTAGCCCATGTGGCACAGAGCTGTAGAATACGTGTCTAAGTGCGCGCAAGTAGATAAGCGACAACTACAGCGGAAACTTCGTATCCTCCTCGCGAGGCGGGCGCGTCTGCCGTGAACTTGGCTGCGACGGCCGTCAACTTCGTGCGCTCTTTGAAAAATACCCTTCGCATCAAGCCCCTGGCTCGCGGTAGCGTTATCCGTTGGGTTCGGCTCCAATGTCCTCGGTGATTTGCGTGAGGTGGTCTGGGCGCCAGCGTCGCTGTTGTTCGAGCGGAGCTGGATCTCGCCGTTTGTCACGCACTGACGCCAGACATCATGCGACAGCGCTTGCTCCATCGGTGCAGCGCTGGGTTGCGCCATGGCGGACGATGGGTGGCGAGGTCGAGTGGCGCGTCGGTGAGATCCCTCGCGAACTTGAGCCAATGCGCCTACGGAGGCAGCACGGTCGGCCTTCACGCGGAAAGCCAAATTCCTCAGTGCATCGCTCCCTCTAAAAAAATGAGCATGCGAGAACCGACCGCAACTTTTCCTACTCGCCGCATGGGCGCTCGAAACGCGCCCCGACGTCTTGCAAACCACAACCCCTGCAGTTGCAAATTAACGCGGCCATGGCGCGATCCACGACCTTCCTCCCCGTGGCAATGTGCTAGTCAGCCATGTGTTCGCCCGCGCGAAGCTCTGCAACAGGACGCGCCCTCTGAACAGCCATGGACACATGGACTGGATCACCGCCCCAGCAATCATGCATTCTTGCACATGCGAAAAAAAGGCAGGCGCTGTCATCCCTCACGCATCGTTGCGCTGCCAATCCCAAGCCCGGATCACTGTAACAACCGCCTGTCACGAAAACTCTTGGTGTCCGTAATGGCCATCCTGCCCTTGAGTGACATTGAGGCTCTCCAGCGGCGGAAGGTACCCGATGTTCTGCTCGTCCAATAGTTGTTGTGCAGTTTGGCGAAGTAGAGCGCGCAGAACTTGTGGCGCAGGGGGCCCGTCTCGTTCAGCGGGCGCGCGCAGACCTGGAACCACAAGAAAGACTGCTCGGCCACCTGCGTGTTGATGCCTCTCAAACATCGGGCCAACCGCTCGGTCTTGTGGGGGTTGCGGGGGCAGCTGCTGGTGTGCCCCTTCGTGTGCATCCAGTCGATGGACCATTGCTTGATGTCCTTGCAGGCGGGCAACTTCTGAGCTGATGCATAAAAGGCAGCGTGCTCATATTGGGGTGCTTCTTGAGAGCACGAGTCAAGGCTTCTGCCGCGACGCCGTTGCCTTCTGGGTTCCTCTGCTCGAGCGATGCGGCCTGTTGGGGTGAGGACCATGAACCAGCCGTGATGTTCCATCAAACTTCTGTCTCGAACAGTTGCAAGGCGCTGTCACGCCCCTGAGCCCCTCGGAGCCCACATTCAAGCACATTCGACGTGGCAGAATTACTCCACTGAGTAGACGACAGTTGGATTCAGTCAGTAGGTTTGGTCGGTGCACATTTCTTTGCACGCAGTGTAGCCGCTGCCAGGAAAACCTGTCAGGAAAACCTATGGAGGGGGAGGGGATGAGATCAGGGATTCCCTCGGGCCGCGTGAGTACATTTTTTATTTCTTAAAAAGACCGCGTGGTTCCGCAATTACCCACACAATGCTCGCACAGTGTGGTTCTCATTTGCGTCTCCAGCGCATCGGATGGGTGCCCAGAAGGTTCGCCACGCTCCGGCTCGTTGCTGCCCCGCTGCCGCCCGTTGCCGCCTCTGGGGGGTGTCCAAAGGATTCACCACGTTCTGGCCCGTTGCCGCCTGTGACCACAGCTCGTAACGTCAGACGTCTGGCAGACGGAGCCCGCATTCTCGCCTTTCTGTCGATAGCTTGTAGCTGCTGTCTCTCCTTCGACTTACTTCCTTCCCCATCCCTTAGTTCAAGGCGGGCACGCACCGCATCGTGATCGATCCGAGCGGCACGAAATTGCACAGCATTCGACCAGCTCTGAAAGGCGGCTGGCTGCAGTAGTGACACTTGGACTCCTTCAACTCAGATAGAATCCGCAGCACCAGCGTGACAGCCACGACGAAACTCTGCAGTGTGAGCGTCTTGGCGCCAGGAGGAGAAGGAGGAGGAGGAGGAGGAGGAGGAGGAGGAGGAGGAGGGGGGGGACGAGGAGTATGAGGAGGAGGAGGATAAGGAGAAGGAGGAGGAGGAGGAGGAGGAGGAGGAGGACAAAGACGACAACGACCGCGAACGAAAGAGGGCGGATCACCTGAAGAGGCGCCCGCTCACGGGGCTGGTCGCCGTGGAGGCAGCCTCGCTGGCTCCAGCTTCTCGAAGAACAGAGATGGAGAGCCTGGTGGCGCTGACTGGTCCCCTCGGGGCAATCGATCGCCTTCGAGAGCGTTTTTTTTATATCCCCGGGCGATACCAGGCGGTACCAGGGGGGGGGAGGGGGGGAGGGGCCAGTAACGTCAAGTTTCGCGCCGGCGCCATCTGGGAAAGTATAGGAATGACCAAAAGCAACTCGGAGGTCAGCACGATTCGTGACGTTACCTGAGGCGGGGGGGAGGGGGGCGGCCGGGGAGGGTAACGGCTGGCATCGCGAAAACTAGAAAATGCTCGACCGGCATATATCCAGCTCCGAAATCCTCGGGAAACTGATGAAAACTGCTGTAACGCGTTCAAGAACCAGCGCACACCGCCGAGACCTTACGAAAAAGACCTGAAGACACCCGACTATCACGTTCGAAACCACCCCATCCTGTGTTCGCGGTTCCTCTTCCTCAACATTGTCATCCTCATCCTCCTCCGCGGCATCATCATCACCAGCATCATCCGCATTACCGTCATCATCGTATTCTAGCAATAAGCACCATCATCACAACCATCCTACAATCATCTTCGTCATCATGATAATCACAACCACCACCATCACCACCACCATCAGCACCGTCATCATGGCTATTATCGCCGCCGCCATCATTATCACCACTTGCATACTCACCATACTCACAAACATCATGATCAGCATACTCGTCCTCCTCCTCGTCCTCCTCTTCCACATCATCATCATCATCACCACCATCAGCACCATCATGTGCATCATCGTCATCATCATCATCATCACCTTGGAATAACCACTACCATCACTATCGCCACATCATATCATGGCCATCGGCATCGACATCGTCATCATCATGACTGTCATCGTCCCCACCAACACCACCATCATCATCATCACCATCATCATCAGTATCGTCTTCATCATCATCTCCATCACCATTATCATCACCATCACCTCCACCATCACCACCACCACAATCACGACCACCATCAACATCATTATTCACGTCGGCAACCATCAGCCGTATCTTCATCATACTCATAACCAACGTCATCGTCATCCACTTCATCATGAGCGTCGTTTCCATACTCACCATCATCAGCATCGTCATCATTTCCATCATTGCTATCAACCCTGTCAATTATAGCACCACCATCGACATAACATATCATGCCATCATCGCCACCTTCATCATCAACAACTTTACCACCACCGCCGTCATACTCACAATCATATCAATAATCGTCACCGTGATCGACACCGTCACCGTCATATTCGCCATCGTCATCATCACCATCATTGAACTCAGCATCATCGTCGTCGCCGTCGTCATCATCACCATCGCCATCACCATCACCACCACCATCATCATCACAATCATCATCAACATCATCAGTTTCATCGTCATCACCACCGCCATCAACATCGGAACAATAATCTTCCTCATCATGACCACCACCATCATCATCATTACCTCTATGCTTTTCACCATCATCGTCTTCATCATCACCATCATCACCACCACATCCACCACCACCACTACCATCATCATCATCATCATCATCATCAGCACCACCATCATCATTATCACCATCGTCACCATCATAATCGTCATCAACATCATCGTCATCAGTCTCATAACATCTGTTCTGTTCCTACCGTTCGGACCGCGAGATCCCGTTGCGCATGCTGTTCATGGAGACCGCGCTGGGCCCCCCGCTCCTCGACTCCCTCCCCGTGTCGCGCGCGGAACGCTGCACTGCGCGCCCCACCCTCTGGCGAGGCGACAATGTCGTCGCGGGCCACCGCCCGCCTGCGTCGGCGACGGCGCCCGGCTGCCGACGGCCGCATCCCTCTGGCTGCTCGCCGAGCAAGATCAGCGCGCCCAGGACGTTTGATGAAATAATGAAAAACAACGGGCCGCTTCCACTTGCTCCTTCCCACGCTGGAGCCACGTACTTCCTTACCGTTTTGCTCTTGGCGCCCGTCTTGGAGCCCAGCAGCTCCTTCACTTCTTTGGCCGGCCTCGACTGGGGAACTCCGTCCTTCGCCACCTCTATGTCCGCAATCCTCGGCGCCTGCGCGCCCTTTCGCTCCTTCGCCATCGCCGCGAATTCCGGAGCGCCCTGGGCCGCCCAGATCCACTTCGCCACCGGCTTGTCCGCCTCGACCACAACGGAGAAGCAGCGCGTCGCCCGCAGAGCCGGGTTGTCCTTCTGAACCATCCCCATCTGGTTCGCGCGCTGCAGCACATCGAGCGCCTTCTTTGCCGCCTCCTCCCACCCCGGGTCTTGCCGCGCCGCCGCCAGTGCCTTGGGCGCGACATCTTCCGAGATCGCCGCTGCTGCGTTCCACGGCAACAACCTCAGGAGGGCGTCCTGCTTCTTGCTGTTCGGGTTGCCCTTGAATTCCTCGCTCTGGGTCTCCACCGCCTCCCGCGCCAGCTTGCCGTCCTTGGCGTGCTCGTCCATGCCCTTGAGCATTCGGATCGCAACGGGCGAATCCTTCTTCATCTGGAACACTATGTTCAGGTCCCTGGCCATCGACCGCCCCTTCCCCTCGCGGATCAGAGTCAGCGCCGCCGCGGCCTCAAGTGGCGTGACGCTGGCGCGCCCTTTCCGCTTGCGCCTTGCGTCGCCGACCTGGGCCGCGCCAGCGGGACCCCCCCCGAACGTCCGCATTGCCCCGCGCAACTGTGCCCGCGGGCCCGCGAGCAACTCCAGGTTTGGCTAGGGCCGCGTCGGCAGCGGGCACGCCCAACATTACTGCGCCGTTGCTGCAGCCACCTCCCCCGCCTCCTCGCCCGCTGCCGCTGCCGTGGCTGTTGATGCCGCGGCTTTCGGTCGGTCCCCTGGCGTGGAGTTTGGCCCGTGGTCGGTCCCCAGCGTTGCGCTTGAACTTCGGTCACCCCCCAGATCTGCTCGCCCTGCTCCTACTTCCTGTCCGGCGCGTGGTTAGCCCCCGGACGTTGCGTTTGGATTTCGGTCAGCGCCCCGATCTACTGCTGCTGCTGCTCCTCCTGCTTCGGCGCTTGGTCGGTGCCCAGACGTTGCGTTTGGATTTCGGTAAACCTCCTGATCCGCCAATACTCCTCCGCCTTGTCGGGCGTGTGGTCGGCCCCTGACGATGCGATGGGAATTGGGTCAGCCCGAATCTGCTCGACTCAGCGACGAGACATCGGCCATCTTTTTCCCGCACCATTCGCACGCCGTGCTGATCTGTTCGGGGGCTTCTCCTCGAATCCCCGTGCGAGAGTCGGGTCGGGACCGCCGTGTCTGATGTGTTCGAATCCCCATTCAGGCCCCTGCGCTCCGCCCCGCAGTCGGGGCAGGTCTCTCCGTCGACCTGCTCTGGCTCCTCCGCAAACTCGCCCTCCGTCGTTTGCAGGGCCTCGACCGTCTCCTTGCTCGTCCCCGCCAACCACCTTAGCTGCGTCGGCTCGATGCGCGGCTTCTCCACCTCGCGGTCGAGCCCGCGCTGCGCCGCCAGGTCTGGCGGCCGACGCCTGATCGCATCCTTGGCCACCGACCCCCCTTCGCGCGGACCCTCCAGCGCGACCTTCCCTAGGCCGCTCGGTTTGCCCGCGACGCCCTCGTCGACTTCTCGAGGGGGGGGTCCCCCGTCGCCGCTGCCCGCAGCGAATTGTCGAGGCTGGCGTTGTCGACCACTTCGCCCTTCGCGTCTTTGTTATGGCTCGATCATAGCCGGCCCTGGACCCATTTGTTTTTCCAGACTTGGATCATCGACTTCACCGCGTGGACGCCCAGCCTCGCTCGAAGGTCGTCGGAAGTCTCCCTGGAGATGTGCGCGGGCGGCTTCGCGATGTGCCGCAACGGCTTCGCCTGCCGCCGCTCCAGCTTCGGGGCCTCGGTCGCGTTGGACAGCTAGGCCATGGCGTTGCATGGCAGCGCTTTGCGCGCCAATCCAAGCCGTGGCCGCGCTCTGACCTTCAACGCAATCGCGCTTGGCCTCCGTGCACCCCTCGTCAATCTCGCATGAGCTTTCGAAGCCTGGGCAATCCTTGCCGCGGCCTCGACGGACGCGGTGCCGGATGCGTTGTCCACGTAGACGAGGTACTTCACCTTGTTCACTGCCGCGACCTGCGCGCCCTGGAAGGAGATGGCGACTCGGCCCTTTGACGCGCTCTGGTTGTGCTTCCTGGCCCCCTCGCCGTGGGCAGCGACCGTGAGCTCGAGCTTCCCCGCGTTGACCTCCGGGCCTCCCTTCCCGAGAACCCGCGCGACCATCTCGGCGAACTCCGTCAGCTGGGCGACTCTGCAGAACGCCGGGAAGCTGATGACATCGTCCACGAAGCACGCCGTGTCGGAGACGATCCTCTGCACCTCCTGGATACTGAAGCGTGCAGGCGCACGAAGAGTACATTGCCCTCCACGCAGTCCTGCCTGACGCCCTTGGGCACGACGACCTTGCCGACGAACTCCCTGGCCTTGTTCTTGCTGACGTGGCGCGCCATGTCGCGCACCGCCTCGAGCGCGAGGGCTAGCCCTTTCCTTCCCGAGATTTCGTCGATGGCCTTCCAACCCGCGGAATCGGGTCGAAGGCCTTCTCCGAATCGAAGAGGAATGCTGCTGGGGGCCTCCGTTGCCCCCAGCGGCCACGCCTGGGCGCGCCCATGAGCCTGCCCGGCGCATCTCTCGTGCCTCTCTTCGGCAGGGCCCCGAACTGACGCAAGCCAACCGCCTCCTCGACCTTGGGGGCCGTGTCCGCGAGGGTCGCCTTCGTCCGCGCCTTGCCGGCGTGGCTAGATGGAGATGGCCGCCGCGAGCGTCTTCGACGACCCCTTCCACGCGTCGGCGACGGCTCCGACCGTCGTGTTCGGCTCGATCGTGGCGCTCGTGCCGATGGGCATGATCTATAGCTCTGCGAACGCGCCCCTGGCCAAGACGTTTGCTGGTGGTCGGTGCCCGGACATTGCGTTTGGATCCATGGTGGCAGCCGGATCTGCTCGTCGTCGTCCTCCTCCTCCTTGTCCGAGAGGTGGTCGGTCCTCTGACGCTGCGTTTGGAGTTCGGTCAGCCGTGGGATCTGCCCACCCCCCTTCTCCTGGTCTGGAGCGCGGCATGATGGCCCTCGGGCCGACCTCCCCTCGGGGCATCTTGTCGAAGACTTGCCAGACCCGCTCGCGCCCGTGTCGGACCGGCTCGACCCCCTAGGGGAGGGGCTGCACCTCGCCGCCAAAGCGCTCGACTCCCATGTCCACAGGAATCGCCTCGAACACGTGCGCCAGGGCATCCCTCCGGGCGTCCAGCTCGCCAACTCCGCCCCGCGATTCGAGCCAGATGCCCCGTCTGGCGGACGCCCTGCTGGCCGTGGCCTTCAGCGCTAAACGCTTGATCTGCTCGTGGGCCGCCTTGATTCGCCCGCCTTGCACGGCCTGTTCGAAGGCGTCTGCCATCTCCTCGAACCTCGCCCGCCAGTGAACCCAGATGTCCGTCCTTGGCCTGAGCTCTGATCACCTTGAACTGCTCGGCGCACTTGTTCCGCTCCGCGAGGCCGCTCGCGCCCTGCATCCTCTTCATGGCCTCGTGCTTTTTTTTGATGTTAATCGCGATCTCTTCCGGCAGCTGCAGGAGCGCCTGCTTGCCCTCCGACTCCTGCTTGTAGTGCTCAACCGCCTTGTCGACCTCGATCTGGTTCATCCGCGCGCCTCCCTGAATGGCCCTCTCCACTGCCTTCTTGCAGGCCAGCGCCTTCGACACCTGGGCTGCCGCCGCCGCGTTTGCGCCCGTCCCCGCAGGCTTCTCGTACTCCTTCAACTCTATCATGTTCCTGAGCATTGTGTCGCGTTCCCATCGCACGACGGTCTGCGCTATTAGCTGGGCTTTCCACCGCTTTGCCCGCGGCAGAAGCTTCGCCGTTGCTGGCCTGTGGTCCCGAAAGCCAGCCACGCCGACCGGCATCTTGTAATCGACCCACGATGCGATGTTGGCCGTGATGCCTCTCGCCGCGCTGTAGTCGATGCGATGGTTCTTGCGCAACGGAGAGAGCCGCGTCCAGCAGCTCGCGTTGGCCTTGCCACCAGTGGAGGCCGCCTTCATATCGTTGCCCTTGATTGCCTCGAAGAACCTCCGGCCGTTGTCGTTCCACATCTTGTTCCTATCGCTCCTCTTCTCGTCCGCCCTTCCCATCCACGGCAGCGCCCCATCCATCTCGCCGTTGGCGTCGATGCACATCACGACCGTGGCCCGCCTTGGGATCTGCCGCACCGTGCTGTCCAGCGTGTCCCAGAAGGCGTACCGCTGCGTCTCGCGCTTACTGTTAGTGTCCTTCTCGTGCGGGTCGTGCGCAGGCGCCTACACCGACATCGCGTAAGCGTCCAGCTTGGTCGTGCCGCTGCCAGCCAGGACACGCAACCCGAGGATCCTGCCCTCCATCCAATGGTGTACACGCATACCACCAAGCCCCACGAGAACCTCCTGGAGATCGCGATCAGGAAGCCGTCCTTGGACCCCTTAATCCGCGGCAGCGGGAAGTACATGTAGCGCTCCTCGGTCACTCGCACTCAAACTCCATCTAGGTGCCCTGGAAGCAGGCGATGTCCACCCCTTCCGCCGCGGCCAGGGTCGTCAGCTCGCCGAGCCGGCCCACCATGCAGCAAGTCTCGCAGTTGTACAGCATCACCTTGACACCCTCGCGGTCGCGGTCGATCGGCTTCCTGCGACGAGCGCCAGTACCCCATGGGCTCCGCTCTTGCTGCGGCGGAGGGTCCAGCATGTCGGGGAAGAGCTCGTGACCTTTCGACCCTGCTCCGAGCTTATCGTGGATCTCGACTAGCTCCTCGGCCTTCGCTAGCCTGGCCGCTCCGCTCTTCCCTTTGTAGCAGGCAACTCTGTACAATGCAACACCCACAAGAAGGATCCGCACCGCACGCGCCCACCCGCTTGTGCGTGTCATCTGCCCTTGTTCGGTCGGTGTCTGTCTCCTGCGTGTCATTGTTCCCTTCCGCGGAAGCACCAGGCTCTGCTTCCACCCTCAGCTCTCCGCGACGATCTGGGCGTGCCTGGTGCTCATGATCTTCTACGCGTTCTTGGCCTTGACGCACTTCTGGCGCCATCACGGCGGGGAATCGGGACCCCGAGCTGCTGCTGGCTGCTGTGGCCACTTTCTGAGAGCACAGCCTGCATCATCCCCTTCATCTTCATCAGCATCAGCAGCACCATCACCACCATGAACATCACCATCACCATCACCCTCACCATCATCATCAGCACCATCATCAATGTAACCATCACCACCATCATCATCAGCATCAACATCAGTATCATCACCATCATCATCATCATCACTATCATCATCATCATCATCATCATCATCATCATCATCATCATCATCATCATCATCATCATCAACACCATCATCATCAACAACAACATGGTGATCATCATCATCGTCATCATCATCGTCATCATCATCGGGATGCTCCTCCTCCTTTCCTCCTCCTGCTCCTCCTCCTCCTCCTCCTCCTCCCGTCCTTCTCTCCCTGGAGAGTGATCGGGAGGAGAAGAAGGAGGAAAAGAAGAGGAGGAGGAGGAGGAAGAGGAGGAGGAGGAGGAGGGAGGAGGGAGGAGGGGGGAGGAGGATGAGGTGGAGGAGGAGGCGGAGGAGGAGGAGGAGGAGGAGGAGGAGGAGGAGGAGGAGAAGGAGGACGAGGAGGAGGAGAAGGAGGACGAGGAGGAGGAGGAGGAGGAGGCCAGCACGCGCGCGCGCGCGCTCGCGCGCGCGGTGCTCCTGCCCACCCATTCCGAAGCGCACGCCAGCCCCTGGGGCCCCGCCCGCCGCGTCCGCGTGCGGCTCGGCAGCGCCCCAGTCCGCGGCGTTGCGGCGGATCAGGCGGGCTGCTCGGCGGCGGCGGCGGCCGGGGCCGCGTCCGCCGCCTTCGCGCCGGGCATTTTCGCCGGGTTTCGGGCCCAGGGGCCGTCACTAGTGGTCTCGCATATGAGGTCGGAGGATCAGGCCGCATCGCCGATGCATCGCCAGTGCATCGGCGATGCGCCGGCGACGTCGCCGATGCGTCGGCGACGTCGACGTGGAGAAAGTCGGGCTCGACATCGAGCTACATCGCCGATGTATTAACGATGCGGCGGGATCCTCCGACCACATCTGTTTCGACCCCATCTGGGAGGCCTAGAATCATAGATCGATGCGGCACGAACAACTGCAGTAGAAATATGGGCGGTGGAGAGACAGAGCGTGAGAAAGAGAGAGAGAGAGAGAAATACACTGCGCTAGCCGTGCGCTTCCTGCCATTCGTGGACGAGGAAGAGGAAGAAGGCGGATGATGATAACGACGATGATGATGCTGATGATTATGATTATTATTATGATGATGATGATGCTGATGATGATGATGATGATGATGATGATGATGATGGTGATGATGATGATGATGGATGATGATGATGAGGAGGAGGAGGGGGAGGAGGAGGAG